TAGGTGCTGGCGTCGGTGCATAGCTTCCCAAGGGGAGGGAGTACTTCAAAGGTGACCATAGTGACATTCAGCAATGAGGTAGGCACCACTTTTTCTAGAATGAGTTCACGAACTTCATTATCAGACCTTGTAATAATGAGGGAAGTAATACGGTGTTACAACTTGTTCAAAGGAAGTCAAAAAATTTTGCTGAAATCTGCAAAAACTGGTCTACCCCAAGGGCAACAGTCCATTGTATTTCACTAAACCCAGCTAATTTGCATGTCTATGGACAAGAATTATTTGCATTACTGTCTGTTTTCTACAGGTTGGCTGCTACCTCTACAGAGGTATGAAATAGTCTAGGCGGAAACAAAGGCACACATCCCATAGACTCAGTGGGTTACCGGAGGCCCCAGCGTTCTTGAAGGAATGTTCAAAAACCACTTTTACCATTCTAAAGTCTGAATTTTTTCCTTACAAAAGGATGACTCCTAGCATCTGAGTAGCTTCTCAGACAAGGAAAATTGGAAGCAGGAGAAGCACTAAGATTGAGGGGAGAGTGAGAATACAGTTTTGGACCTGGAACATTGAGGGGCCTGTGACACATCAAGGTGAGGTCCTTGAAGTGATGCCGGAGAGAAGGCTTTTCATCTGGGGTTTTAAAAGTAAGCAGAGTAAGGGGGCGGCCAGTTAGCTCAGATGGTTAGAGTGCAGGTTCATAACACCAAGGTTGCCGGTTTGATTCCCACATGGGCCAAGGAGCTGCGCCTTCCACAACTAGGTTGACTTGGAGCTGATGGGTCCTGGAAAAACACACTGTTCCCCAATAAAATTTCTTTAAAAAAAAAAAGAGTAAGCAGGGTAAGGACATAAAAGGTAGGATGATGGTCCCAGGAAGAGGGAGAAATTCAAGCAAATGCACAGAGGTGGGAAAGATTGGGGTCTGCACGGGGAACACAAGGTCAGACAGGAAGAACTTAAGTATTTTACATCCATCATTATTACAGACAGTACAGTGATGTGTGCAGCCAAGCATAAGGGAAGACTCGCTTTCGGTGACATCTTCCATAGAGGACTTGACTCACCACCTGAGGACAGGAACAGGTGCTGTGCACCAAGGCTCTGGAGGCTGAGGGCGTGACTGAAAAGCCCAGCTCCACTGCCTCCTAGCTGTGACAGTGGACAGTCACACTGCCTGTCCGTGCATCAGCTTTGCTATCTGTGCAGCTAGCACCTGCAGCCTCGAGTTGTAATATGAAGACCGCATGTCGTTTGGTTAGCCCAGGGCCTGGCACGCAGAAGTGCCCAGTTAAGTGTTGGCCATTAGTTGGCAGTAACAGGAAGAGAAAGCTCTGGCAAGTCTGGCAAGCTTTCTCTATTTTACTTAAGACGAGAAGGAGATCAGAGACACCGGGTGCCCTACCTGAAGCCACACAAGTTGCTGAGACCTGTTGGGACCCACACCTGTGGCCTGGGATCAATTATTCAGAGCACCCTCTTTCACTTGGAAAATTGTGGATACCTCAGTTCTGCCCCCAAGGTCCCCCACCTCCAGTACAACTTGTGGAAGGAGCTTCGTCTAGCCTCCAAGGCACTGTCCACAACCCAGGCCTCAACCAATCAGCACAAACCTGGTCCAATGGGACATCACTGAGGCTTCGTGGAGACGGGAGACAGGCTCCATCACACACACCAAGGGAGGAAGAGAAAAAGCAAAACAGAATACTTTCCACTTAAAATGAACCTACAATATAAAATCCAAAGCAAATTCTATAATAAGAACTAGCATTAAATAAGAAAGCCAATACAATGAACGATGGGAACGTGAATTCTTAAAGTTGAATTTTAAGTTGTAGAATAAGTGGATATGATTTTAAAATACAGTAAAACCTTGGGTTGAGAGTAACTTGTTTTGCAAGTGTTCCACAAGATAAGCAAACATTTCTAATACATTTTAACGTGGCAAACGAGTGATGTCTTGCAATATGAGTAGTTTGTTTCTGGAACGAATTATGCTCGCAAACCAAGGTATTACTGTATTCATGTTTTGACAAGGAACATTTATAAAATAAAATCAAAATTAATAAACAAAAACCGGGAGTTATGAAAAATCATTTAAAGTCGCACACATGTGCTGTGGACTCAATCCTGTTCCCCATTCATATGTTGAAGCACTAGCCTTCAGTGTGATGGTATTTGGAAGTGGGGCCTTTGGGTAACTAGGTTTAGATGAAGTCACAAGGGTGGGGCCTCCATGCTGAGATTTGCACCCTTATAAGAGTCACCAGAGAGCTTGCTTCCTCTCTCCATGTGAAGTCACAGCAAGAAGGTGGCCGTCTGCAAGCCTGAAACGGAGCCCTCGCAAGGGAACCCAATCGGCGGCACCTTCGACCTCTCAGCCTCCAGGATCGTGGGAAATCAGTTCCTGTGCGTTGTTTTGTTACAGCAGCCTGAGCTGACTAATACAATATGGAAAACGTGGTTATTGAAATGAAAAAATGTGATAAGAGTATGTTAACTCTAGATTTGCATGGTTACAGAGGAAATGGGTGATTTGGAAGCTATTACCAAAGGATAGCACAGAATAAAGAACAGATTCAAAGCAAAAAAAAAAAAAAAGAAAAATACAACACAGCATGTACATCACATGGAAGACTGAGAATCTACAATCTGTACGGAACAGAGTTCCAAGAGCAGAGAATGATAGAATGGAGAAGTGATAACTGAGGGAAGTGACAGATGAGAAATTTCCGTAATCA